TAGAAATATGCATTTTAGACGTTTTTAAAACAATTTTCAGAAAACATGGTCAAATTGTAAATAAAAGGAAGTATGTTTGAAAAATAAATTTAACAATATGAATCAGATTGCAAAAACAAAAAATACGGATCACTTGTACGCCCATTCAGTGGCATGACGAATCACCGCAAGCCGCGTGGCAGACATGCCGACACAGGTTCCACGCGGGAAGTCGCGATACCAATCCATGTGCTAGGCCAATCAAACGGTCCAAGGCCACTCCTGCTAGCACAAATGCCCCAAATTAATTTTCCGGATAAGCCTGATTGAACAGTCCAGATGTCTTCAACCAAACGATCTGGATTTATTTCTTGAATAAGCAAGATCTGACGGCTGAGTCCACGTGGCCTAATCGAGGGGAGGAGGGTATTTAAGCATCTCATTTGGTCAAACCCCAAACCCTAGCCAACACGCCTCGTTAAAGAAGAAGAAGGGCGATCGGAAGGAGACCCAGCCGCCGGAGGAACGGTGGAGTCACCGTGCTGGAATGCCGAAAACACTCCGGTAGGCCGAAAATTCTTCTCGTTCTTACCGTTTCTCTGCTCTTAGTCACCTAATGTGTTTTCCATGCATGGTAACCGAGAGAAGCCATAAATCGCGAGGAAAAAACTACGGAGTTTCGCACCGGAGGACTGAAACCGCTAGTAAGCATATGTTTTCCCCCTCTTCTTGCTGAAAAACACCCTATAACTACGATTTAAATAGATTTTTATCATTGACCGGCCAAAATCGGTATGACTAAGAGGAAGAGCCACCGAAGAAGGAGGACCAGGCGGCAGAGCACAGCGGCACTACCATGCCGAAACCCCAACTGACCCTCGGTAAGAATTTTTTAACTTTTTTGTCGTTTCTTGCATATTTTTATGCCATTTTGACGTATGTTTCAATCTTATAAGGAAACTAAGAAAATTCGAGATCCAAAAATCATGGAGGACTGTAGTAAAAAAGACAGTGTTTTGAACATTGACCCAGTGTAAGAATCTCTCATATTTTTTTTCTATTACGGTGAAATTAAAGCTAAATTAATAATGAATGAAAATTTTGGATAATTGGCATTGATGGAGACAGTAACCGATCAGTCTATATTTGTTTAATTGTGTTAACTATTTATTCGGTCGATTTATTATGCTAATTTATTTACTTTATTCTATTTTAACCCACTTTATTTTTTTGCCTTAATCTATGTTTCCAATTGTTTTATTTTGTGCATGATACGTTTTGGTCAACATGATGTATATTTATTTTATTCACGTATTTTGAAGTCTGAATTCCGTACTCTTCTCTTGCTTGGGGATGTAGGTATACGTGTTATTTGGGGTTAAATAGTAAATGAAAGAAATAATATGCGTGAACTATTGTGGTTGAATGAAAAGGGTTACCGGGTGCTATGGGTAAGAGTGTACGGATTTGGTACATAGGATGAACCCTACCATGGATGTTACCCTCAATCGTACAGGGCTAGGAGTTTATAAGTGTCACTCATACCGGATATAGTATCAAGACGGTTATTTATTGTGGCGCCTATTACCGGACGGGATATGGGAATAACCATTTAAGTAAAAATGAAATGTTTGTATTCACGTGTAGTGGGGATCGCTATGAACCCCTAGTGACACCAGTAAAAAAAGGTAAAATGATAGTAAAGAAATGAACATGGTAAGAAACTCGATTTGAAAAATGTGAGTAGTCAAACGTTATATGCCTATTGAAATGTATACTGTTAAATTGTGATTCTGATTTTTATTTTAATGAATGGTATTTGAGAAGTTACAGGTTCGTCAAAAATGCTAATGTTTTCAATGAAATAAATAATAAATGCACTAGCATTCGAGTTTTATTA